TCATTTTGATGGAATTTTCTCTCACTTACAGTTTTGGTTATGGGACAGGAAATGAATGGGACGCAGAGGGCAAAAAACCCAAAAAACGTACTCAATACAAGATGAAAAGAACCAAAAAGAGTAGATCAAAGAACTCAAGGCAGATCATGTAAGACTAATCTGATGGATTTTTTTTTAGATATAACAGCAATGTGATGCTGTGGACATAGCCTATCTTGATTTCAGCAAAGCACTTGATACAGTTCCCCATAATGATCTACAGGTGAAACTCGAAAAATTAGAATATCGTGCAAAAGTTCATTATTTCAGTAATGCAACTTAAAAGATGAAAAGGTGAAACTAATATACGAGATAGACTTATTACATGTAAAGCAAGATAGTTCAAGCCGTGATTTGTCATAATTGTGATGATTATGGCTTACAGCTCATGAAAACCCCAAATCCACAATCTCAGAAAATTAGAATATTGTGAAAAGGTGCAATTTTCTAGGCTCAAAGTGTCCCACTCTAATCAGCTTAATTAAGCCTTAACACTTGCAAAGGGTTCCTGAGCCTTTAAATGGTCTCTCAGTCTGGTTCAGTAGGAATCACAATCATGGGAAAGACTGCTGACCTGACAATTGTGCAGAAAACCATCATGGACACCCTCCATAAGGAGGGAAAGCTTCAAAAGGTAATTGCAAAAGAAGTTGGATGTTCCCAAAGTGCTGTATCAAAGCACATTAATAGAAAGTTATGTGGAAGGGAAAAGTGTGGAAGAAAAAGGTGCACAAGCAGCAGTGATGACCGCAGCCTAGAGAGGATTGTCGGGAAAAGGCCATTCAAAAGTGTTGAGGACTTTCACAAGGAGTGGACAGGCTGGAGTCAGTGCATCAAGAGCCACCATACACAGACGGATCCTGGACATGGGCTTCAAATGTCGTATTCCTCTTGTCAAGCCACTCCTGAACAACAAATAACGTCAGAAGCGTCTTACCTGAGCTAAAGAAAAACAGACCTGGTCTGTTGCTCAGTGGTCCAAAGTCCTCTTTTCTGATGAGAGCAACTTTTGCATCTCATTTGGAAACCAAGGACCCAGAGTATGGAGGAAGAATGGAAAGGCACACACTGCAAGATGCTTGAAATCCAGTGTGAAGTTTCCACAGTCTGTGTTGATTTGGGGAACCATGTTATCTGCTGGTGTTGGTCCACTATGCTTCATTAAGTCCAGGGTCAATGCAGCCGTCTACCAGGAGATTTTGGAGCACTTCATGCTTCCTTCCGCAGACAAACTTTATGGGGATGCTGACTTCATTTTCCAGCAGGACTTGGCACCTGCCCACACTGCCAAAAGCACCAAAACCTGGTTCAATGACCGTGGGATTACTGTGCTTGATTGGCCAGCAAACTCGCCTGACCTGAACCCCATAGAGAATCTATAGAGCATTGCCAAGAGAAAGATGAAAGACATGAGACCGAACAAAGCCGAAGAGCTGAAGGCCGCTATTGAAGAATCCTGGTCTTCCATAACATCTCAGCAGTGCCACAGGCTGATAGCTTCCATGCCACTCCACATTGAGGCAGTAATTGCTGCAAAAGGGGCCCGTACTGAGTACATATGCATGCTTATACTTTTCAGAGGTCCGATACTGTTCTATGTACAATCCTTGTTTTATTGATTGCATGTAATATTCTAATTTTCTGAGATTGTGGATTTGGGGTTTTCATGAGCTGTAAGCCATAATCATCACAATTATGACAAATCACGGCTTGAACTATCTTGCTTTGCATGTAATGAGTCTATCTCATATATTAGTTTACCTTTTAAGTTGCATTACTGAAATAAATGAACTTTTGCAGGATATTCTAATTTTTCGAGTTTCACCTGTAATTAAAAAGCTGTATAAGCTAGGACTTAACCCTTGGGTGGTTCAGTGGAGATGCAATTGGCTGAAGGATAGATCGCAGAGCATGGTTGTAAATGGGGTTCACTCGTGGTGTACCACAACACGTACTAGGTCCTGTTCTATTTAATCTATATGTGATATAACTAAAAAGGTATTGTGGGTAAGGTATATTTTTTTTTTTTTACTGCTGACACAAAAGTGGGATATCTATGGAGGTGTCTAATATTGAACATGATTTGGCATTGCCGAAAGATTTCTAAGTGTAAAATAAAGCACCAAGTGAAAAAGAATCCCCTGACAGAGTACAATATTGGGGGTACACTACAGAGGAAAAAGATTTGAGGGTGCTTATTTCAGATGATTGCAAAATGAGCGAACAGTGTGACCAGAGAGTAGGAAAAATTGAACAGTATTCTAGGATGCATCCCTAGACTGGTCACCAGCAGAAGGAAAGAGGTCCCGGTTCCCCTATGTAGATCTTCTGTTAGACCTCATTTAGAATACTGTGTCAAATTCTGGAGACCTCACTTGCAAAAAGATATTGATAAGACAGAACAAGATCAGAGATAAGAAAAAGGGTGAAAAGTCTGAGGGATTAAACATCTCAGGAGAGGCTTCTTATGTACATTAAGAACTTAATATGTACAGTCTTGGGGAAAGAAGAGAATAGAGAGGCATGACTGAAACCCTTTAATACATCAAGGGGCTGAATCAACTACAGAAAGAAGTTGATGCTTGGAAGAGACTTCCAGCAGAAGTAGCGAGTCAGACAACAATAAGTGGATTCAAACATGCTTGGGACAAAAATCTATACTCAGGCAAAAAAGTTTATATATATAAAAAATGGGGCAGACTTTATGGACCACTTGGTATTTTTTTCTGCTGTCACTATGTTTCTATTTTTTAGTATAGCAGCTAAGGAAAACCTGGTAGGTGTGTAAGGAAGCTAGAGCTCCACCTTCTGGTTGAGTAAAAAATATTAATGTGATATTATATATTTTACAATCTAAAACAAAGTAAATGGCATATGAAATATTTTAGTCCTGAATACAATAATGAATATATAAACCACAATATATATATTACCTAAAAAAGATTGTTTCCCATAGCATCCATTCTATTCTAGCTATTTTGCCATTTTTTTAGGGATAGTCTGTTACTATCACTAAGCCACTGTGCCGCACATATTGCACATTCCTGTCAGTCCCTGCCCTCAAGAGCTTACAATCTAAGGTCCCTAACTCACATCGATACACACATATTAAGGCCAATTTAGACAGGAGCCAAGTAACCTACCAGTATTTCTTTGGAGCGTGAAAGGAAACCAGAGTTCCCAGAGGAAACACACACAGGCAGAGGAGAACATGCAAACTCCAGGCAGGAAGTGCTGTGGTTGGGATTCAAACTGACAACCCTAGTGCTGCCAGGTGGAAGTGCTAAATACTTAGCCACTCCATGGTACTACTGTAGTTAGGAATGTAGCCACCCTCTCGTGCACACTCCTGAGATGGACTAGGGACTATGGGATGTGAAATTTGCATAGAATAGTGCACATAATCACAGCTTACAAGAACTCAAGAACTGCTCATTCCAAAAAAAATTGAAGGGGGGGGGGGGGGGGGGGGGGGAGAGGTTTAGGAGCTCGTGGAGGATATTATATAGCAGACAAGGGTCATTAAGTAGTGGATGTGTATGAATTATTTTTGGAAAATATATTGTTTAATGTCACTTTAAGAACTGATGGTAGGTATTGCTCTCTGGAAATCTCACCTGAACTACATGTCCTCTGCAGGCATCCCAATTTTTGTTTCTATCAAAAAAATTCTCTGCCCTGTACAGGATTCTCTTAAGTGGAAGATCAACAGAGTACATTACAGTAAACCCATCCATGTGTCACACCATGTGGAATCGAAATAAAAAGAATGTCTTGAATGTTTCATGAATGTGTTCCTTTTCAGTCAAACTTGGAACATTTAAGACTGTTCCAGGGTAAAAGTACATGTGATGTATGGCTGAACACAATCACAGATGGTGCACTGAATAAAAATTGATTATTAACATTATCCATTAATCTTCAGTGAATGGCAATATGCTCTTTTGTTCTCATAGAACTACATTTATTTAGCCCAGCCCAGAACTTACAAGATATATATATATATATATATATATATATATATATCTCTTACTTGTACAAGGTTCCCAAACGTCAAATTTTGTGCATATCAATGTTTCAAAACACTTGAAGTCATATTGCACTTTATTAATAATTAGACTTACATTGATTTTATTTAAATATGGCAGCTCTTATGCTAAGTAGTCCTGCTTACATGTTACTGTTACCATAACCAGAAAGACTGGCCAAAAAAGTGTAATGCTACAGATGTCACCTGTTCTGATAAGTATCACTATCTTTTCAGCCAGTTTAACAAAAATTCGGGAGTTATTGTGCAGTACACTTACATAGACCTGCTAAAAAACTGGAGAAAATCCTATCCATAGCCATACACTGGTAGTAGTTTTGTCAGCAATACAACTCATTAAACAACTCTTCATATTAGAACACCACATATATTAGGGCTTTAAAAAGGTGCAGAAGCAGCTGGCTGAAGATAATAATTGCAAAGAAAAAGATTTAATTTAAAAAGGGGGAATACCAGATTCTACCATGTTGTTTTGAACAATACAAAAGGTTCTAAATGGCCATGCTGTCACATCTACTCTATGTTTTAAGCAAATATCAACCCCCTTATGCCCATTTTGGATAGAGTTCTGCTTGGAATTCCACGTGAACTAAATGACAATTAGATGATACACCGAATATACACCAAGAATATACTTCTATTATTATCACTTCCCTTGCATCTACCCATTTCTAATCCCATGGGCTACTCAGGCAGCATGTTTTGATGACTCATAGACTCAATGGTGATGAATGAAAATGAAGTTAGCATAAACTGACATGTATGTCCATCAGATATTCAAAATATGAATTGATACATCTAGAGACAGAGATCACCTTTTATCATTTACTGCTAAGGTTTAATTATTATTGTCCCCCTTAGTTGTGATTGAGCATATGGTTTCAAAGGAGTTAATAGGACTGCGTTTGCATACCTGCACATTTTACTCCCTGAGCGATCAGTCCCCACATGAAGTTGGCACAGTATTCACACCAGTGAGGACCTCTGAAGGTGTGCACCTAAAAAACAGACACGCAAGGGACCATTAGACAGAGAAAAACACAAAGCTAGACTTCCTGTTGTTCAGTTTAATCAAACATGCATTTTATACATTTTTTTCTGCAGTTGGTGCTACATTATACAATACTTGCCAACATGGACAATATATTCTGAGGCACTAATAGAAAAATATAAATCCAATGACCACATTCAATGTGCTGCCCCCCCCCTTCCCTGTCCAGTCGCATGCTGGGGCGGGTGCTAGATATGCATATTTTGCTCAACTGAGAGGGGTCTCAGCCAGTGCAGAATCCACTGTGCTGTCAGGTAGGTGTACCTGGATAACAAGTGTGGTGGGATAAAAATCTTTGGGCAAGTAAAACAGTTTACATTTATGTAAACCAACTATATATTGAGCGGTTTTTCTGGGGTTCAGATTTAAATAGTATCTGTAAATTATGTAGTCCAATTCAAAGGATCAATGGGCCGGCTCATGTTCTATGATGCTTAGCTCTCTGGAATATACTGACAAGGGTCTAAGCAATGCTCTTAAATGTCAGTCTGACAAGTCTATGCTGCTGTCAGTAACATGTATTCGAAACATCTTTTCACAAAGAGGATGAAGTGCTTCTGAATAGAAGTCTGAACAGTTCCTACCACAGCAATCTCTCCAGTAACTTCGCTTTATGTACGTATGAGGAGATAATGGAAATCAAAGCATGACTCAAAAACAAAGGGCAGCATAAAATGCTATTATATAGAGGATTCCTATTGCAGACAGTGTGTCAACAATCAGCATATTTTCAATCTTCTTACTACCGCTGGGAAAGTGAGTGCATTTATATTCATTGCTCAACGAAAGCCTCTGGCTGTCAGATCCATAAAAATGACAAAGAACTTTAGCCTATAAAAGGACACTCTTATCATAAAAAAAAGATGCAATACATGTAGATGTAGGTATAAGGAAAAAAAGAAAATATAAGGAAAAACACCCACATAGGTTAATCCATCATCTAAAAAGTAAATTTCAATAGATTCTAAAATAACTTTTTAAACGGGAGTGTTTTAAAGCAATAAAATCCTGGCCTAGAATATTAAGCAAACAATCATGGACAATCCTACTTTCTCATGAAGCCTCCTGGGCCAGTTTCACCTCTACTTGTACAAGAGCTCCTGTGTAGGGTAATGCAAGAGGGAGTCATGAACAAACAGGCCCAATGCCAGGGAAAACAACAGTCATTATTTAGGGTTTTTTAACTTACAAGATCCCAATTTCATGATGCTCAGTAGGTGCTAATTGGGAGAATGAAATTTGTCTATGAGCAAAGGAAGCACAACAAAGAGTAGATGTAAAGAAATAAGAATCATATTGTTACTGTACTGTCTTGTGTACTGTCTCCCATTATAATGTTATTATTATTATTATTATACAGTATTTATAAAGCGCCGATAGCTCACTCAGCGCTGTACATTACAAAGGGGGACAGAACATGTGACAGAACAATACCAATACAATGCAAAACATGAGGGAATCGAGGGCCCTGCTCTTTCGAGCTTACAATCTAGAAGGGACGGGATAGTGGTACAGGAGGAGATAGCTGTGGGGGATGGAGTGGTAGGAAGAGTGGAGGAGGTCGGTCAAGTTAGCAGGGGGCAGGCTTCCCTGAAGAGATGGGTTTTCAGGGTGCGCCTAAAGGAGAGGAGAGTAGGTGATAATCTGATGGGTTGGGGAAGGGAGTTCCAGAGGATGGGTGACACCCTGGAGAAGTCCTGGAGCGGGCATGGGAGGAGGAGACCAGGGAACTAGAGAGAAGGAGGTCTTGTGAGGAGCGGAGTGTGCGTGTTGGGAGGTACTTGGATATTAGGTCAGTGATGTAGTTCGGGGCAGTATGGTGGACAGCTTTGTACATCAGTGTTAGGATTTTAAATTTGATCTGTTGCGCAATCGGAAGCCAGTGGAGGGATTGGCAGAGGGGGGTGGCGGAAACGGAGCGGTTGGAAAGGTGAATGAGTCTGGCAGCCGTATTCAGGATCGACTGAAGCGGGGATAGCCAGCGGCGAGGCAGGCCAGTGAGGAGGGAGTTGCAGTAGTCGAGTCGTGATATGATGAGGGAGTGGATGAGCTGTTTAGTGGTTTCTGGGGTTAGGAACGTGCAGATTTTGGCGATGTTGCGGAGGTGGAGTCTGCACGAGTTTGTTAAAGATTGGACTTGGGGCTGGAAGGATAGGTTGGAGTCCAGAATGACACCAAGTACTCTGGCTTGCAGGGCAGGTTTGATATTGGCGTTGTTGGATGTGATGGAGAAGTCAATGGGGGTGGGGTTCGGGCTGGGGGGAAGACAAGAAACTCGGTTTTGGAGAGATTCAGTTATGTTATAATGTACAGCGCTGAGCAAACTGTTGGCACTATATAAATCCTGTATAATAATAATAGATGAAACCAATGAACACCTTCACCTCTAAGGTAAGGAGGAGGGGGCACCCATAGGTTCACTCCTTTTTTCCCCACATGTGCCTGACTGTTAGAGATATGGGAATCTCTAACTTTTCACGAGTGGTAGCTCTGCAACTGCAGTAAGATTATGTTAAGAGGCCAATTTAGGCAAAATTCTTATTTACATCCTAATCATACAATTGCCCTTCAGTGATGACAATGGTTTTCAATTTGTCTTAGAATAGCTGTGCCAACATGTATTAGGCTCCAGTGGGACCTTCATCACACATTGGCAGCTACTCTCCCTTTGGCATTAGCCATGACATGGAAGAGGCTGACGTACGAAACACAGGGACACAATATGGAAATGTGCCACAGAGATGATTCAGAGTGCATGCAGGCAAATTTGGATTAGAACTCATCCCTGAGATCGTGAGAAAACATTACTTAAATATTACTGAAGGGAGGGTCTGCCAGTCATTGTATTTAACAGACACTTGTTAGCTAGTGAGGCCACTTCATTAATCCTACAGTAAAGCCAGACAAGAGCACAAGACCATCTGGCTGATCTGCATAGTAAAGTATATGTTTATTCAGAATGGCTACCCTACATATAAAAAACAAAAAAACAAACAAGCCACAAACTGGCTGGAAGAATCTTTTTTATTGAGTGACCAGTGGAAAAAAATGGTCATTCTTGGGGTTTGTGGTGCAGAACAAAAACATTTATTGATTAAAACACTTATGAGAGGGAATAAATGTTCCATGAAGGTCTCCTGTGAATCAATATCCGATTTGACTAACATCAACAGCAGCAATCATCTCCTGAGCATAAAAGTGTGATGGCATGGTAGGATATAAAATGGTACTCCACTTCACTTCACATGCGTAATCGATTCAAGCCTTACTGCCCTCTAAGACTGGGAACGTCCTGTAGTCACTAAAAAAAAAAACCCCCCAAAAGAACTCCAGAGCATGGGGAGCCTCATGCAGGTCCCTGCAGGCTGACACGTTTCAAAGGAATCTCCTTCATCAGAGCCCAACTTTGGCTCTGATGGAGATTCCTGCAAAATGCATCAGCCTGCAGGGACCCCGGGGAGGCCCCCTCTATGCTATGGAAACTGTTGAGTCTAGAAGTACTGAGCTACAGACAAGTGGCTCGAGGATTTTTTTCCGCATGCTTGTGAGTACAATTTACACTGAATTTCTCATAAATGTGTGTGATAATCCACCAGGCTGGTAAACCCCCTTTTGTTTTTTTAATCGGATAACATCTACATTTAGTGTGATGAAGAGTGAAGTGGAGGAAAGCAAGGATTGAAGAGTACCATCTTGCTTGAGGTAGGATGAGCTTCCTATATAAACTTGTATAGAAAGCATTTAGCCAAGAAATCGGTTAGAATTGGGACCTGGGTATGTTTTGTATAATATGGGCACATAAAATGGATCAACTAAATGTTTTAAAAATGTTCTTGGTTCAGAACAATAAGTTTTTGGCAACTATCCTGGTGCCTGACAAAATAAGTATGGCTCCGAACCAATTAGGCAAAGGTTAGGATTTAGGGAATTAAATGTTAGGTTTTAAAATTGAAATGTTAATTTAAGAGTCAGGGAATAAGTTAAGCATTAATTTGAGGGATTTGGTTAAATTTGAAAGCTCAGGTGATGGAAGTATTAAGTGCCAAGTTCAGCCATGGCACTTAATAAGATAGACCTTTCATGTTCTTTTGCCATCTGTGTCTTATTGGGAAGATTATCCTCTATTCCTGTTCTGATGACAACTCAAGATTTTTAATGTACCCTTTCAGTTCTAGTGACAGTGATCATCAGGACAAATAGAGCCTCACAGGGGTTCTAACTTCCCTATTCTACCAAAAACTAAAAGCGCATCCTGGCTTTAAATACAGCTTGGGGCTTGGGTTAACTTTCATCTTTATGAAACTAGCCCTTGAAATTTAGGTTAAGGGTCAGGATATGTGGAGGGTGCACCAAGTTGTTATTGGTACTGAAAGCTCCATGCTGAGAACCACCAGTGCTGGAGTATGGGAACAAATGCTACTCGAACAGGAATTTGTTATGAATTCAGTCTCAATATTTTGCTGCTCAGTGTTTTAAAACAAAATAAAAAAAAAAACAGAAAAAAAAAAAACAAAAAACAGTACAGCGAGGCCTGCTAGTAACCCCTTCAGTGGCAAGGAAGCTTAAAAAATGTGGAGCAAATATTTTACAGCCAGAGTTCCAGAATGATATACAGATCAGGTGAGGTGGCTGGCACCTACCCCCAATTGAGAAACCAGTTTTATTTTGGCTGACCCTAAAAGTAATAGTACTATTTCATAGAAAAAAAAAAAAACAAAAAAAAAAAAAAAACCAACAGCGCCTTTAAACTATTCAAATCCCTGCACCTTATATGCAAAATTATTCTTACATTTATCAACTTATTATATTTGCTGTCAAATTTTAGTTTTTATCACATTTGTAAATGTTCATAGTTATCCAAAGTAAACATTGAGAAATAATGGTGTTTTTATTAGTTGCCATGGGGAAACAGACACATGGAACAGTATGTCCATGTGAACTTCCCATAGTTAACAGTATACAACTCTGGAGAAAACATTAGGACAATCAACAAAGTTTGAATTTTCCACTGCTCTCCTTCATACCTTTAAACATCGACAATGTGAGACAGGCAAACAGTTAAAAGAACGTGTGCAGTTTATTGCTCTCTCTGTGTTAAGGGAACACAAGTGCCAGCATGCCATACTAGCCAGTGAATGGCCCAACATGCTGGCACCTGAAGCTCTTTGAGACATTCAAGTTCCCATGTATTATGTAAAAAAGAAAATAGAAACATCTATCAGACTTCCGAAACTTTGTGTTTTAAACACAACCTCTGACCACCTACCGTTGTCCAAAGGGCACTTTAACTTGTAACCAACTTTTCTCATTTTTACTTTGTCTCTCATAATAAAACACTACAGCTGGAAATACAGTGCCAAGTGTATCTTTAGATATGACAAAAGACCCAACATCTGCTTATTTTTGCTGTGGCTTCTAGTTCAAAGCCCAAGCCAGAATGCTGCAGGGTAGCTTTGCTGTTTTGCTAAACAGATTGCAGAGAGAATTCTATAAATGCTAATATTGTGGCCAGAATTTCCACAGAGAGTGTAGGAAAAACTGACAATCATGTACCTCTATTTGCCAGAGAAAGAGTATATGCCATATAACACCATCTGATAAACAGCAGAATATAAATGCATTTTGTTACACAAACTTAGCAATATATTTTTTCTATTAAGTAAAAAGACTAAGAAACTTGGTACAGCATGCAACAGAACATTACCTTAAAATTGTGGACTTTTTCGTACTTGGGAACCTGTTCATTTTCCTTCAACGTTGCTCTTCTCACGAGTGATGTTAACTGTGAATAAGCAAAGAGTTTCAGTGGTTGCCAGAAGGTTGCAGAAGTCTTTTGAGAGTTTAGTTTCACTCCCAGAGCTGTGGCCAACAGATCCGGCTGCTGGCTTTTGTGCTTTCTGGGATGGGAAGCAGTTTTGACATATTTTAGCTGTGATTCTCTTGAAGGCATTATCAAACAAAATTTAAAAAAGGAGTTTTCTTCTACTAAAAAAAAAAAAAAAAAAAAAAAAAAAAAAAAGACACACAGTGTAATGACAAAAACAAACTATAAAAAAAAAATGTTCACAATGCAGAGACGAACATCCTTGACATTGACATACAGTAGATTAAATCAGTGATGGCTATTGGGTTGTCTACTGAAAACCAGTTGGTAATGATGACTGCAGTACTTGGAGTGTGCATTTGGAAGTAGATTTTTCCTTCTTTCCATTTAAAAAAATATAACCTAAAACGATATACAATGCAGCGTCTAGATGGTTTAAAATCCCAGCCAGCCAGGAGTGAGAATTGTTGATCAGAAGGATGCTCTAAGTCTGAGGTATCGGCTTAGTGAGTGAAGAGGTGGGGCGGGGGGACAAAATGGGCTTTGCAGTCATGCTGTTTTAGACTGGCCACAATAAGCACATATCTAACCAATGAAACAGAGCAGCAGCTTTTATGTATTCATCAACTCCGTCTCCCTCCCCCGTATCCCCCTACGCACGACTTTCTTGATTACTTAACCAGCACAGGACTGCATCACACTGAGAATGGAGATGAAATATGGACTGCAGGAAGTGCCAGACACAAAGGGGTTAAAGCAGAGAAAATAGACATACACTACATGTCAGGCAGAAGATAAAGAGCCATGAATGACTAATACTTTCTTGTAACATACATTCAATGAAAACACTGTTCACTCACAATCAACTCTGTTCACAGCCATCCCGGAAAATCCCAGAAAATGACTTAACTCTGGCAAAAAAAAACTGTCCAGGAGATAACCTATGGTTTTTTTTGTTGCTAAAAATATTACACATTGTAGTACAAGTCCTATAAATACATCATGGTAAAGACAAGGGGGTTAATTGAAAATTCCTGTGCTTTCAGCAATGATGTGGTGTAATCCATCGTAATTCGATCATTTTAAAAGATCAAAATATTCAAATGTAGCCAATTTTTTAATGCAACGAGGTATTGTACAACATAGTTATTTGCACTTTGAGAAGAAAGAGTCAGTTTAATCAAAAGTGATCTTTTTGTGAATTTGGCAATAGAGTGAATTCTCCCATTTGCTTCATGTTTGTTGGGAAGTTGCCTGTAAGACCCCTAAGAAGACCACAGACGATGCGATTTTATTTCCTGCAACCATGGATTGCAGGAGAGATAATCGCTCTATTTCCCCATCAACACAGTCATTGTTGATGGGGAATCCCTCCTGCAGAGCTTTTGTGTTCTCTCAGTGTGGGGGGGAGCTGTCCCTGCCAGGAGAACACAGTGATTATTGCTAGCAGCTATAGCCGCTGGCAATAATGGCAGGAAAAATCTCACAGGCTGGTGGCACCCAAGTCGTACAACAATGAAATTGGGTAGTCAGCCTGCCCATAGATGGTTCAAATCTCAGTCAGTTCAGCAGAGTTTATTCAAATCTTCTATGGCCAACTTTACACCTGAATTCCAGGTTCTCTTATCTAGCTGAACCACACAGAAGGAGACTCAAGCTCCCTAAAGAATGGTGTAACCGATTTACATTACAGTGAATAGAACGATAATATTTTCATCCTGCTGTGCAGTGTCAGTTTTTTGCATAAGCAATACACATGCTCAGCTGTTCTCACATCATACTACTGACAATCAGGGACATGTTCAATAAAAGGCCTGTGCATGCTACCCTATGCCAAAGTGCCATATGGATGGATAATCATTGCTACCACCCTGGCCTGCCAGTGCAGTTTTGTTGTGGTGGTTTAGGGAACTGTGCATCTACAACTATTTTTTTTTTACTTTCTTTTTTTATAAAAGAGGTTTGTTTCTAATGAATAGAAGATGTCAATAAAACCTTTTAATGCCCAATCAAAACTGGCAAACTTGACAACACACAAACATTCACACGCATACCACATTGTACTAGAATTCACCCCTCACCAAGCACCTTTGCCTTGTCCAGGGTTTACACATCTAGAATAATTTTATGAGTATTCTGAGCCACCAGCGTGGGGGTGTTCATGCAAGACAGTTTGGCCAGGAGAGCATAAGGTCCCATTCACAGTCCTGAATGGGGCTGTTTGCAATTAGCCGTGAGAGATGTTGAGGTGTTCCCTGCGATTAGCTGCAGGTAGGGAGCCCCACTGAAAGCAATGGGAGGCTAACAGCTCCCAGAGCTATTTGCAGCTGATTGCATTACCTATGAATAATGGGTCCTGGATGCAGACGGTCTGCGTCAAAGGCCAATCATCCGCAGATAATTGCTCCATGAGCGATTACATGTGATTGGCCACAAACAGCTGCAGGAGCCATCAGCTTTCCATTGCTTTAAATATGGCTTCCTATCTGCAGCTAATCACAGAGAGCCCTACTCGGTTTCTTGCCGCTAACAGCAAACAGTCCCTTCCACAATTGGGAATGGGGTCTAAATCCACATCTGCTGCTGGCATTAAATAGCGCATTATCATTTTTTTTATTTCTTTATTTTGATGGGGGGTTGGGGTGAACCAACTGGTATTGACATATGGTAAATATATTTCCCTGCTGTATAAAGGGTCACATCAACAAATGTTGGTAATACTGGAGCAAGGTTTGAGACATTAAAGTTGAAGTTTAATCTGCTTAATATTTTGCCTTCCCTAGTTCCTCACACATATCAATATGCTAATTAACCTTTTAAATAAAACCTGTTTTCATTACATACTTTTTGTTCTAGGAGGAGTCATCACTAGGTCCCTGTGCTTCTCTATGCATGTCAGGCAGCTTGTGGCTGGTGGCAGGGTCCAGCAGGGTGCTGAACATAGTCTCCTGAAACCACAGAATCCTGCCTCAGTACTCCTCAGTTCTGATACAAGCAGTGGGCTGACCCTTGGGAGGAGTCATGAAACTGTAGGTGCTCCTAGGCAGGCTGCATTTGTATGCAGACCTCCCCCCTCCTTCCCCCAACTGTAACATCCATAAGTGCTACTGAGACTCCATGACTGACAGAAATGAAAGAGGAAGGCTGGGGGAAAATAGCTAGATTATGCTGGTTGCTTTTCAGCTGGGAAATGAGGTGGGCTCTGTCTGATTTGCTGCAGCTTCTAATGCATTGTGAGAAATTCAAATCAGTAATCAATTTCAGTGATGGAGAGGATTGTGTACTATGCAAGACTGAAGAAAAGGCAGTGGCCAAGCTTAAAATATCACCTTAGATCTTGCTCTGATACTCAAAAATTCTGCTTTGAGTGTTTCAGAGGGGCCTTGTAGCAGGAATGAGACTTGGACATAGCATAATTTCTAAAGCTGGGTACACATGGATGGAAATCTGTCCAGATCAGCAGGGACCACCTGAATTGTGAGCTGTATAGCCCTCCCAGTTTGACAGAAGTTGATTGTAGATTTGCTTCTGCTGAATGGAACTACTGGAAAACATTTTTCAATCAGTGGCCTGGAGTCAAGCTTTATGCTTATAGTACGAGAAGTGAAGGCTGATGGGATCTACAAAAGCCCAGCACAAGACTTTTACACAGTGGAATGGGGCAGAGAAAATGACAGATAAATTTGAGAATAAAATATATACAGTAGCTACTACAGACTACTAAAAGCACAATTTTAACTTAGCTAATCTGTAAATTTTAGTAGCTTACCTTCTCAGTTCTAAAATAAACTAATATGCAGTATCTGGTTACAGATTGATAGGAGAGGCAGTGAAAGGCAATCACATTTGTGTGTTCAAGGAAATTGTTTTCACATTTAGATATGCTTTAACAAACCTTATATATATATATATATATATATATTCATATATTCAATTGCATGTACTGCTTCTTAATGGCAGCTGCTGTATGCTGTATTAACTGCCAGTGATTACAGTGTTTCTAAACACATAGAAGCTTTTTACAGGCATAAAAAGTGTAAATGTGGGATTTATAATGGAATGCCAGTCAAAACATTTTTCTTTTAGCTTCTGAGTAAAATAGGGAAGGTTTAGAATCTCAGGGTTTATTAAAGAAATCAGTGTTCCTCTTGGAGGAGGATTTACCTCACTTCCTGCCTGAATGACCATGGTTGTTCATATTAAAGGTGGTTTCCTTTTTTTTTTTTTTTTTTTGCAATAGCATGCACTGCTTCTTTATCACAGCTGCTGTGTATTGCATTAACCACTTGCCCTCCAGAGGATTTACCCCCCTTCCTGACCAGGCCTCTTTTTGCTACTCAGCGCTGCACTAATTCAACTGATAATTGCGTGGTCATGCAATGCTGCACCCAAACAAAATTTGCGTCCTTTTTTTCACACAAATAGAGCTTTCTTTTGGTGGTATTTGATCACCTGTGCGCTTTTTATTTATCATGCTATAAATAAAAAAAGACCAAAAATTTTGAAGAAACGATATTTTTTACTTTCAGCTATAAAAAATATATAGTAAACTCAAAGTTAGTTATAAATTTAAGTCAAAATGTATTCTGCTACATGTTTTTGGTAAGAAAAATCCCAATAAGTGTATATTGATTGCTTTGTGTGAAAGTTATAGTGTCTTCAAACTATGGTATAGATACTGCAATTTAAGCCATTTTTTTGCTATACAGCGCAGCGTTAAACGGACAATTGTGCAATCATGCAATACGGTACATAAATGAAATTTATGTCCTTTTTTTCACACAAATAGAGCTTTCTTTCAGTGGTATTTGATCGCCTGTACGTTTTTTATTTTTTGCGCTATAAGAAAAAAAAAAAAAAAAGCTGACAATTTTAAGAAAAAAAAAAAACAATATTTTGGACTTTTTGCTATAAAATATGTACAGTAAAAAAAATTTAAAAATCAAATTTAGTCCTAAATTTTGGCCAAAATGCATTCTGCGACATGTCTTTGCTGAAAAAAACCCCCAATACGTGTAAATTAAATTGGTTTACGTGAAAGTTATAGCATTTACAAATGGCGGTAAAGATACTGGGATTTTTAATTTTTTTTTATACTAATAATGGCGACAATCAGCGACTTATGGCGGGACTGCGGCGGACATTCTGACACTGGGGGGGAGGGGGAACAGGTTTGGGGTCACTGATATCCC